CAACTACTTTTGAAATTGTTAGGCTAATAGTTGGTGATTTAGGAGAATATGATTATCATCGAGATATCATAGTTGACCATATCAGTGAAGGACTTAAACAAATAAATGAACTACACCTTTCTTTTATGGCCATGCAATATCCTCTTTTTTCCCTTATGGTGAAGATGAGTTTACACCTACTATAAGTTATGTTCATCTACCAACAAGAAAAAAACCAAAATGCCAAAAGGTAACCACACAAGACTACTATGCCTATATAATTCAACAATGATCTATTGTTAAAAATACATAGTTAAGAGGTGGTAAGCTTTTTTAATAATTTATAGTTGACGCATTTGCGGTTATAGAAAAGGAAAGATTGTTATATATATGAAATAATCAAAAAAATTTAAGATCAAAATTGTATAAAAGCTTAAAAGACTCATTTGCAAGAGGTGATAACAATGCAATCACTACAAGAAAACGTACAATATTACCTACAAGTTACACTAAAAGCCCATAATATTTATTACAAATTTACTAAAATGCAATGGCAATTTGTAAAAATTATGGTTGTTCAGACCTGTTCATCACATTCACATGTAATGCTTGATGGAAATAAATTTAAAAGGCACTAGGCTTAATCCCACATCAAAGACCAGAAGATAGACTTAAAATAACTATAGTTCCAAGCATAATAGATGATATCTTTGATATTGTTTAATTATATTCTTCATTTATAGTGCTACATTTCCAAACATAATGCTTGATATCCTTGATCTGAGGTCATACAATTCCAATTATAATACTTAATATTCTTAATATGTCATGACATCTACTTGATAACCACTACTTAATTAATTATCCTTGATTTATAGTGCTATGATTCCAAGCAAAAACGCATCTTTTGTGGACCTTTGCCAAAGCCTTGTATTGACTTTTGTTTGCAAACATCGCTTTTTGTAACTAAGCTAACAATCAATATATAAAATTAGAAATTGTCGTAATATCTCTTTACATTTTCTACTATCAATTATAACATTTTGTATATGTAATTTTTAGTACATGGACTTGGTTTAGTCCTCACCTACAAAAAGTTATTAAATGGAAAATATGATAAACACGACTATTACAACATGTATTATTGTATCCATATACAATGCATAGGTACATTTCTAGTATTAATAACTATAAGATGCATTCCTTGCTATCTAATTTACAAAATTATAATTGTCTATTATAAGAATGAATAAGAAAACAAAAGACAACAACAAACAATTTGCACTGTTGTCTTCCAAATGTAAAATAGAAGAAAATCAAAACCAAATATGCCAATGATGCACTAAGTGAGTCTAGCAATATATAGCCACCTTTTGTGTTTAATAAGAGTTTACAATAATAAATGGATGGCTGCCAATAAAATATAGACCGGTAGGTATGCTACAATAAAATAAATTAAAAGCTGATCCTTATTAAATATAATTGGAGAAGCAACAACTAGATCAATGCATTAAGGAATAATTACTTATTCTTTTAATTTCTATTTATTTAGCTCTCAGATTTCTTTCAAACTTCTTTCTTCGAAAATTTCCATGAACTAAATAATGTCAAAACGAACATGCTGGGGGTCTAAAATGAGAATAGATTGTTAAATTCAAGACTCAACGTATCTCATGCTTATTAAAAGAGAGCTAAAATGAACTGTTATACTTTGGTAAATTTTACACAACTTACCGGGACAAGACAACAGATGAGCTTGTCATGGAAAACTGCCTTACTACCTTATTTAATGACTCATTTCCTTTTCTGCAGGAGAATTGCTTTCTCTGAATTCTTTGACATGACACTTTAAAAGAACAAGACACATTTATAAGTGGAGATGGGAAACATAAATTTAGTAGGGAATCTATTTGAACAAGATGAGTTAGCTTGAGTTCTGTTATTCTTTTAGAATGATGAAATGGTATCCTTCATGTAACATTTAGTTCTTCTATTTCAGTTTGTCCCCTCTTTAGTATCAATCTCCATGCAAGAGTTGTAGAGAACAAGAAAAAAAAAATACATACATCATTTATCAATTATCAAAGGATCAATGATATGAAATGGCAAGTGAGGATTGATAAAAGCTTCAACTTTTCTTTGCGTTGTTAATATCACAGAAGGCTAGGCCTAGAATGGCTTGGGTTTGCTAACAGTACAGCCTATTAAATACGACCGTGAGGAGTGAATCAGCCTCAGAGTACATCAAGATGTCATGGTAAATGTCTTACACATTCTCAATGAGATACATTCACAAAGTTGCAGCTCTAAAACAATGAATTGATTAAACATAAAATGTTCTAATGGATTGAATGGGCAGCATAGTGCTCGAATCTGCAGAAAACACAGAGCAGGAACAAAAATAAACAATAGATCAACATCATCCACTGCTTATCATATGATTACAATCTAAAATATTGTTTTCAGTAAACAGCTTTCAAGTTTGGATTTCATCAGCAATGCTTTTGTATCTGTAAGGCAAACTTGCTTGGTCTACGAACAAGAATAGTTGCTTGATATAGGATAGAAATGAAAACCAGATGGTACAAGAAGCACTTCATGCAAACACCACTCACCGCCTTCGGATTGGGAATTCCGTGGAGGGCATGATCTCTTTCTTGCAATTGGCAAATCTGGTTTGCCTATTTAACTTTTTCTTAACTCAGGTTTCTGCAAGTATATATGCAAACAAATTAAATAAACCTGTTTCTGTTACAGGCATCTTATCTATCAAAGAGAGAATCTAGGAATCAATATCATACCTCTTCTGTCAAAACTTCTTCTGATGTGCCTATTTAATTAGGTCTTAACTCATGTTACTGCCAGTGTGCAAGCAAATTAAAACAAACCTGTTTCTATTACAGGCATCTTGTCTCTCAAAGAGAGAATCTAGAGATTAATATCACATTTCTTCGGTCAAAACTTCTCAGAAGAAGTATACCAATTCTCCTTTTCAATTGAGTAATTCTACAACTCAATGGTGTTCTTTGAAGCTCCATTTCTCCTTAATTAACAGAAAGCCAGTGCTACTTCACCGCAGCAGAGATCAAGATTCAAAAATCCCATTAACACAAGCATGGATAATTGCCAATATGCTAGCAAAAGAATTGCAGCTTGTGCCATTTGGGAGTTATGGTCCTTGGTATGGCAAGATGCAGGTATGCATTTGCAATTCCACAATAAACATGCTGCATATAAGTTGACATCAACTGCCAAATCATGTCTGCTGCTCAATTCTGTTTACATTCAGGCTGGTGGGTGTACTTAATCAAGAGATTAAGAACAGCCCTTGCATAGATACTTCTGAGAATGCATCAAACTATGGACCTGCAGATGGTGGAGCCTCACAGTGAGACTTCTGAAATTATTTTAAGGGTTATTCCTTCCTTTAATACTTCCAAGCCTATTTAATGCGTGTGTCGAATTATTATACGGATTTACTGGCAATTCCAAGGTATTTCTTTTCTTGTCAGCAGATTTGATCCTTTCAAGCTTATCGTGGAGCCATGAAAATCATCTTTGCTTAGCTGGATCTTTGTCAACTGGCAGGATCTGGAGCCTTAAAACATTGTCGTTTCAAGGATCTGTGGGCATCATTTGCCAGCATCTGTACTCCAAAACAGCATAGGTGCTTGTATTTGAAGTCAATCTTTCGTCTAAATATTCCTTGGTCTGTCTATCCTCTGAAGTACTCCGTGGAGACAACCTTGTTTACGTGTGTCTTCTAATCTAGACCTCGCTTGATATGTCAAACCTAACAAGTCTTGGTGGACCGAAATTGCCACTTCTATTCTTCCTTTCCCCCAATTTGAAGTTCTAATCGCTGAGACTCATTATCGAAACAATGCATCACCTGTCGTTTATTACTTTAAATATCCTGCTTTAAGCTGGGACTTCTCTTATTCTTGTGCTTATTCGCTTCAGTCCTAATAATACTAGCTCCATATATATAACATAATAGTACAACATTGCTATCATTTATTTAGAAAATCAGATGTTGAAATTCATCCATATATATAGCCAAAGTTCTCCCAACTTTAGAAGTAATGCCATACATAAACAAAACAGCAAAGACCAACATAAAAGACTGACAATCAGTTTTAAAAAGAGTTTAAAAATCCTGAGTTAATCGCTATCCTCAGGACTCTCATAGCCTGCCATTTGGCTATCCATGCCTGAGAAATCAATTACAAAACAAAGCTCCTAAGATAATTGATTTTCACATTTCAAGTCAAACATACATTAATCATTAACAAAAAATAAAAGACAGGTAAAGATACTAACATATTTTCAATATAGTGGAGCTGTTGAGAAAGCAGTTCAGGATACATGCAGGTATTTCAAGCCCCTTGCATGGCCACTTGTCAAATTTTATCTTCAAATGCTTTAAATTAGTAAATCGTAATCGATCTCTTGGACAAAACACTTGTTTGAACTGCCTGCTTGGTGTTTAAGAAAGACATGATTTTAAGGAGAACATCATCAGGTAACTTGCCCATCCTGTCTTCATTCTTCTTGTTCCTCTTCTCACTTGTTAACAACATATCGCTGAAATCTTCAACCCAAAAGGAACAACCATGAAAGGGTTTTCTAAAACAGAAGAGACTGTCTGAATGAAAGGGTCGCTGAGTGAGGAGAGGCAGCTGCTTGATAGATTTTTTAAGAGAGAATGAACATTCAGGTTCTCACCTTTCAGGTATGCTTCAACTACCTTTGAAACGATGTAAATTTATGAAGAGGAGAAGGTAAAGAAACCGGCCACTTTGTGAGCTCTATGCTGTTAATACAGCATAACTTTTTTGTACATTTGCTGTACGTACGTAAAATGTCGATTTGTAAAATGAAAATTAAGATGCATATATAATATCGAGTTTTATGTTTTAGTTTCTTATCATATGCTACACAATGCAATATTATTTACAATTCTTAATATAATATATTGATAAAATTTACAAAATCATTAAAATAATTTTAAAATATTACTATCGCGAAATCGACCTATATCCACCATAAATCTCACTGCGTAACACAAATGATTGACAAGTGTAGAGACTCTGGGGCAAGGAAAATGGAAGACCACCTCTGTAGGTGAGCTGGAAGGTGAGGTGTTGGACGTTGTGTTTAACAGCGTAACAAATCAAACTGACTAGGACAGAAGCATGCGGGTTGTAGTTGGGAGACTGGACACAAACCTTGACAAGGTCAATGGGACAACGCCGGAAAAGGACTTGACCGATGAAATTGCTCAAAGAAAGCACCTTGATACCTACCTCCCCTCGGTCTGGGTCATCTAAGTGAACTATTTTCCGTTTGAAAGGGAAAGTATTGTAATTGAAGTCAAGGTAAGGGAGGGATTCCCAGAGGGTCTTCCATCTCTTGGACAAAACACAAGTTTGGACTGCGTGCTTGGTGTTTAAGAAAGACATGATTTTAAGAAGAAGCTCATCAGTTAACTCGCTGATCCTGTCTTTATTCTTCTTTTTGTTGTTCCCCTTCCCCATATCGCTGAAATCTTCCATCCAAAAATACAACAACGAAACAACCCTCCTAAATTTTTCCAACAACAACGAACACCATCCAAAGCAAATTTCTCAAAAGGGAAGAAAACTGAGAAAGGTGATTTTTGGGTTTTCTATAAGAAAACAGAGTCTTTCAATGGAAGGGTCTTTGAGTGAGAGGCGCCGTCGGCTGCAGCGGCAATGCCGAAAAACAGAGTGACAGGCAGCGGGCTTGAGAGATTCCATTCTGGCAGAGAAAAAGAAACTTCGGGTTTTCACCTATGAAACGACACAGTTCATCAGAGTCCGCCCTAATATTGTTGGGCAATTCGATGTTCCATTAACAGGATGAAACTTAGGGTGAATTGTTACTATCATATGTAATAGTGTTTAGTCATAGTAAATTTCATTGCATAACAAAGGTATATTATTCTAGTTTTAATTTAATTTTTACTTAAAATATAAAAATTATTATAAATATTTTTATAAATATCCATTTATACTATCTATATCTAGATTTGATAAAAATAAAATTAAATTATAATTTAATTCATTTAATCCTTAAGTGTTATTTTGTATCTTCTAAATTCAATTTAGATAAAAATCTCTTCATTTCATTTGTAAATACATACTTATATAAAAATCTTCTTACCCTCTGTAAATACTTTATTTCCCTTTAAATATTTTTTTTTATATTTCTCTTGTAGTTATATTTTTAGATTTATTTCATAACAAAAATTTAATTCTCTCTTTCAGTTTAATTCGTACTCTAATTTTTAAATAAAAACATCATATAATATTCATTGAGTTAAATACTTGAATAGATAAATATGGAGATTGCAATTAAAATTTCTTTAAATGGGCTTCATGTTGGAGATTTATGGACGGATGTACTTCTTACTAACAGCAAATGGGCTGGCCAATATGCTGAGGTAGGGACATATGTTACTACTTAATAAGATTTTCCAATATATCTTCAATATATGCAAAATTTGTCAATTTTATAATATATATTCATAAATATTTTAAATATCTGCAAATTTATATGAATTCACGAATAAACAAAAAAGTAAATATTCGTATCAATCCTCGTAAATACCCGATATATGGATGAATAAACTGGTTTCGAAATCTTAGGAGTGATTGAAAATTACAAAAAAGAAAAATATAGACTTTAAAGTATAAACCTTTCCTCATGCCTCTTGAACTTAAACCAATGCCAAGGATGAATATGAACTATTGTTCTATCATGAATAAAAATCAATAGTAGTTGCATCATGCAAGCCAAGTACCTCCCAACTGATCTACAGGATAGAATGCAATATCATTCCATCCTTTCTTAATTATCAATGAACATCGCGGTACGATACGAATACACTGACAGTGAAAAGAATCAGCTTAGAGCTAAATATATGTAGATCTTGTTTTAGTAATTCTCAACCACAAAATCCCCCACTTTGCAAAATATATTGATCTTCTAACAATATTTTTGGATGGGTACTTTCCTTTATATTATTCCTAAAGCATAATAAAGGGGAAATGGTACCTAAAAGAAAAAAGAAGAAAGAATTGACCATGTATTTGGGGTATCTGCACTTTTTTTTTTCTTGGAATGACCAGATGTAGCTCAGCAGCTCAGTTATATGACAATCTGGTTCGTAATGGTAGAGCCCCATCCTCTGGCAAAATAATTCCTCTTCCTTGGCAAGACCAATAGGTTTCAAACTTCTTCAACCTATAAGTAACAAGTAATAGCTTTAACAATTAATTAATAGGCTTACAGCACCATATAATTGAAGACCACATAGAAAAGACATGTATATGATACTCAAAAAAAGGTTCCTTCTTTATCAAGACTAAGCAGTTTGAAATGACCTGAGGCAGTCTCATTAATTCAAGAACAGCTTTCTTTGGGGTTAGCTCACTGTCTATAATCCGAGCAACTGCTGTCAGGACCGGCATCTTAACATTATATTTCTGGGCCAATGCAATCACAGCTCCGGCTGTTGACACACCTTCTGCTACCTACAGCATGTACTAATCATATTAATTAGACAGATTTTAAGCATCAAACACCCTATATAAAAACTTACAAGCACCTGATTCATGGAGCTTAGAATATCATCGAGCTTCTCCCCTGATCCAAGACGAACTCCAACTGTTCTATTTCTTGAAAGATTTACAAAACATGTAAGCATAATGTCTCCAGTTCCTGATAAACCAGTAATTGTTGTCGGCTTTGCACCCATCTATAGATTTGTAGTAAAAGATTTGTTAGATAACATGAGTTACAATATGAAAATTATTTATTTGAAAGAGCAACATGGAGCATATCAACATTCTAGCCAAAAAGGAGAGAAACAGAGAAATAAATAAATAAAGACAGATCCAATAGCTAAGGTTTCAATCAAGGACCTGCACTCTGCTTGATAGGCCAGCAAATTGCAAAAAAAAGGGATGGGGGATGTACCTTTGTTGCTAGCCATCGTATCTCAGAGCAACCTTGTGCTACAAGAGCTGCCATGGAATTGTTACCAAGATTCATCCCTTCAACAATCCCAGCAGCTATTGCAAGTACATTCTTGAGGGCACCTGCAATTTCAACCCCTGTAACATCACTGAAGTTATCAGAGGTTACAAGCTGAGCATATGCATATCAATGCTTACTTATAATTCTTGACTGTCCATAAAATTAGCCATATAAAAACTTCATTATGCTGACCTAAAGCAGATCAGGGACACACGAAGTTCTTACGCCGAAAGGAATAAATTTGGTATATGTTATTTGGATTTTGTTAAAATTAGAACCTCATCACAGACACAGAATAGTAACCAAAATGCAGTAGTCCTAGAGATATTTGAGGGAGAGAAAACCATGAACAATCTTTGATATGAACAAGACAATTTTTCTTTTCTACTTTGGTATGATGGAGATCTTCTACCTTGAAGTGCTGATTCTTAAATGACTGGAAGCCAACAGCTGCTGAACAGCATTTGCCAATTTTTTGTCTTTTGACGCCACCACCATTGCTGCAAAGCAGAAGACGATAGATGGAAAAATATTAAGTAACCCAAGATATATGAATTGGTTGAAGGTATTACAAGAAAACAGTTTATTGAATACAAGCAAGTCACCTGTTGGTAATTTGTTCATCAATTCCAGTGCAAAGGAAGGCCCTGATAGTGCAATAAAAGGTTGGCGAGGGTTCTTCAATGCTTGAGGAATGATTTGAGACATCATCCTCAATGTATTAAGCTCTAAGCCTTTGCTAAGGGATATAAATGGCAAGCCAGGATCAACATATTCTGCAATGCCCTCAAGAAAAGTTGCACTGAACTGCATTACAGGAGGCAAGATTCAGGCAGTTGCCTCAGACTGAAAAATAAGCTAAATTGCTCTCCATAGTTGATATTAAACAGAATTAGACACGTTATATGACCCTATGTAACAAATGAGCTTTGTGGAAAATCAAGTTTATGCGATAAAATTTGACAGAAAGGAAAAATCAATCACATTTTTTAGCGCAATAATCATCAACATTAAAAAACAACTTGAAAGACCTGCACAGGTACAGCATGAAGGCAATAGTCTGCCCCAAGCAAAGCAGTTCTTGCATCAGTAGTTGCAATCACATTTTCTGGTAGCTTGTGTTCAGGGAAGTATTTGCTGACAACAGAGAAGACATATAAGGTACCAAGGTCAATTAAACTCCATTGAGTAACACCATTATATAATTGTAAAGAGGGACATAATTCAAAGAAAGGAAAAAATAAAAGAAACCCCACCAATTACAATGGT